AAAATAATTATAAGGATAGAAGTGTAGCTTGGTGATCGAGCATTTGCTTAGCTTACTCAAGGCTCTGGGCTCAACCCCAGTACCACAAAAAAGTAAAAAACTAAAAATAACCATAGTCAAGAAATTGTCAAAATAGATTATTTTAATGCACCCATGGAACTATTTATATTCCAGAAGATCATAGTAATATACAGTTCTCCTTCAAAAAAATCATTCAAAAGGAGCAAGGGGAATGAGTAAATTCCACAAGAAATATGAATTTAACTAAGTGGGATTTTAAATATTGATTCTGGAAAAGTTGACATTAATGTCAAAGACCTAACCTTTAAAAGTTTTATATTTTCAGCCTGTACACAACTATTTTAGTGAAGTTTATTTAATGTCATATATTTTGCAGTATTTAAATTAATAGTTAAAGACACTTTTTGAAAGGAAATATACTTTATGGATATTTAAGTTTCTTAAATCAGACTACAATTTAATAAAGAAAATAAAATATCTACATTTTAAAGGGGAAGAAGAATTGAACTTAATTGTGCAAAGTATTTTTTAAAAATTTGAACTCACCATTCTCTGTTTTTGCTATCGTTAGTGGCATAAGAAGGGACTGGCCTTACTATTCTGCATATTGCAGTTCTTATCAATGACCTGGTAAGTCTTTTATTACACTAGTTAAAAAGCTAAAGTGACTTGAAATGTTATAAACATTTTGTTTGGAACCTGTAACGCCCTAAAAATGGGGGTTAGAAGCACTTGCTATGGAACCAGATCTCCTGCAAGACCAAGGGAACGGAGGTTTGGGGTGAATCCTTTTGTTCTTGACAGCATGCTTCAGTGGTACCTTGGGAGAGCTGTGGAGTTGGTACACTGGTAGTGGGCGGGGAGTGGGAGTGTTCTCACGAAGTTACAGAGCAGTGCGTTCCATGAAAGAAAAATAAGAAATGTAGGGGATGTCACATGGATCCATCAAAAAGGCGAAATGCGGGACACGCCCAGGAGGATCAGTTTACTGGGCATTCTGCTCCCTGTTGCTGGGTGATCAGTCACAGGAAGAATTTATTCCCGTTGCTGGGTGATCAGTCACAGGAAGAATTTATTCCCGTATGGCCCCGTAAAGGCTGGAGTTTTCCTCTACATGGCAGCGATTATGTTACTTGTTAAGAACTGCTTTTGAGCTGTGTCTCTCCTGGCAGTTTCTTCCCTCTTCTCTGAATGTTGAGGTGCCCTTCTCCTGGTCAGACTCTCCTTGCAACCCTTGTGTGTCTTGCACTGCAGCGCATCTTCCTGCAGGCGGGCAGTACATGTTGTCTGCTTAAAGGTGTCCCTAAGGCTAGCTCCTTGCCTCTTCTGTGTTGGATGGATTAGAGTGCTTTTCTTGTTCTTTTAAAGCCCTGTCTTGCTTGTTGTAACCCCTTCCTAGTTCAGTTGTTTCAGATCTCCTGTTTGTTGTCACCCATCCTGGGATCAGTCATTGTTTTGGCCTAATTCCCATCCTTCCCTGATAGATTTAACATCAATGAATGTTAAATATCGTTCTCTACATATTTCAAAATAACTATGCTGTTATATATAGTGTTATATTTTACTTTTTCATTAGAATCTGAAGAAATTTAATTGAATCTCTTATTTTCTCTAATATTCTACCTTTTATTATCTAATCTATACTCAATAATTGATTCATCCCCAAAGGAAAACATAATTAACATTGTTATTTTACAAGTTCCTATTTTTTAAAAAATAACTTAAGAGAATAACTTTTCTATTATAAGAAGCTCAAACTTCAGTATGCATCAGAATCATCTAGGGAGTTTTTGTTAATGTTGGTCTGGGAGCGTAGCTCAGTAGTAGAGGCTCACCCAGCTTCTTTAAGGCCCTGGGTTTGGTCTTACGGACAGAGAAAGCACAGAATGCTTGATAAAGCAATCTTGTGATTGAGGAGGTCACAGTGGGGCCTTGTGATCCACACCCCACCGCCCGCTCCGTGTACCGGGGATTGAACCCAGGGGGAACTTTGCCACTGACCTACATCCTCAGCCCTTTTTATTTTTTATTTTGAGACATGCCTCACTAAATTGCTGAGACTGGCCTTGAACTTGATCCTCCTGCCTCAGCCTTTCAAGTCACCACATCTCCCAGCTAGTGATTTACGCCTTAACAAGCTCTCAGATGGTGCTGCTGATGTTCTGAGCTCACATCTTGAGAACCATGATATAGTATTCTGCTGCCATGCTGGTCATGGTGCTAGCCATTGCCACTTGGCACAAAGGAAGCTATGATGTAGAACAAGTGTCAACATATTGAATTTTTCTTGCAGGTATAGTCTGTCGTACATCCCATATGCAAGGTGAGTTTGTTTGAATTCTGTGTTATTCTTTCTGGTCCTTTAACTATTTTTACACAAATACATAAATTTGAATAATTTTTATATTAAAACATTGTTTAAGAACTTTTTCAGTTGTCTTTGGCTACGTTTTTGCTTAAAGAAATAAAAAGAAGGTTGTCATATAAAGTATCACTGTTGATGCGTTCTTCAGGCTGGAAATGTACTCCTATCTTACCTCATGAACTTTCTCAGTAAGGGAATTTTTACAAGAGATTCTGGATCCTTCTATAGCTGTGCATGTTCAGTAAGTAGGATGCAGAGACTCTGGTAAAAAATATTCTGCTTTTGAACAAAATGGGAAAGTTACTAGAAAATGGCATATGATATATAGATGTTTTTAGCAGCAGAAACATCTGTAATCTGCATGTCAAGAGATGACAGTTAATTCCTAACATTTTCCAGAGCAGTATATTAGTTTTAGTTGGGGAAGAAAAACAAAACTAATTCCAGCCTTCAACTTGATAGATTTAGAAAAAGGTTCTGGTCACCATTTGACCCAGTTATCCCTCTCCTTGGACTATACCCAAAGGACTTAAAAACAGCACACTACAGGGACACAGCCACATCAATGTTTATAGCAGCACAATTCACAATAGCTAAACTGTGGAGCCAACTTAGATGCCCTTCAGTGGATGAATGGATTAAAAAAATGTGGCATATATACACAATGGAATTTTACTCAGCAATAAAAGAGAATAAAATCATGGCATTTGCAGGTAAATGGATGGCGTTGGAGAAGATAATGCTAATTGAAGTTAGCCAATCCCAAAAAACCAAATGCCGAATGTGTTCTCTGATATAAGGAGGCTGACTCATAGGGTGTTAGGGAGGGAGAGCATGGGAGGAATAGATGAATTCTAGATAGGGCAGAGGGGTGAGAGGGAAAGGGAGGGGGCAGGGGATTAGCAAGGATGGTGGAATATGATGATCATTATTATCCAAAGTACATGTATGAAGACACTAATTGAGTGTCAACATACTTTATATTCAAACAGAGATATGAAAAATTGTATACCCGTATTGTGGTATATATGTGTAATAAGAATTGTAATGCATTCTGCTGTCATTTTTTTTTTAAATCAATAAAAAAAAAGAAAAAAAAGAAAAATGTTCTGGTGAGGCATGGCTTTGTTTCTTTGTAAAATTTGGAAACCTATGTATTTTAAAAGCCAGCAAAATTATATACCTAATATGAACAGTGAAGGGAATTGGTAGAATTTCTATTTTTAAATTTTTATTCCACTTTAAAAAAAGAGAAAAAGCAGAAGAGTCATTTACAGATGAGAAGACTGTAGAACAGGGTCCACGTGGTAATTGTACATCAGCAACTTGGCTAGGAGCCTCTCCATGTTTTGAGAGGTACTGTCCACCCCTGCCTTGCATGAGAATGCATAGACAGGGCACAGCTTCTGGAAAATGACCCACCCCTTCCCAAGGAGTTAGGATCCTGCACTGGAAAATAACATGCAAGAGAAGCCTCAGATTTTATTATTGTAAATTTTAACAGTCTAGACTGGGGCCATGGCTCAGTGTTAGAGCACTTGCCTAGCGTATGTGAGGCACTAGGTTCGATTCTCAGCACTGAATATAAATAATTGTCCAATGACAACTAAAAAAGTAGTAAAAAAAAATTTTTTTAAAGAGAGAAAAAGAATTTTTAATATTTTTAGTTTTCGGTGGACACAACATCTTTATTTGTATGTGGTGCTGAGGATCGAACCTGGGTCGCACGCATGCCAGGTGAGCGTGCTACCGCTTGAGCCACATCCCCAGCCCTAAAAAATTTTTTTAAAAAAATTAAACAGTCTAGGTAAAAGGGTTTTTAAAAAATTAATAGACATTCTAAGTAGGAGTTCAAACATACGGTTATAAAAGTGTGAAAGTTTGGGAATTGTTAAGATGCAATAATAAGCATTTTGCTTTTAAAATCCAGTTTCTTCGTTCTTTTTAAAAGTTAATTCTTTTGTCAGTTTTGGTATTTATATTTATTTCTTCGAGTTAAAATCAGCATATGTGCTGGTAAAGATTTTCTAAATAACATTTTAAAAGTTAGCAAAATATTTAAGTCTCAGCTTTTGATTTTAACTGATATTCAAAACCGTGTAGTTGATCAACGTGCTGGAGCCCACCAAGCCCATTGTAGAAAGGCAACTGAAAGTTTGGCAGGGAAACCTGGAGCAGACTGGTTACATTCTCTGCGCTTTCCTTCCTCTTGTCACAGGGATGCAGTACTTAAATGCTGCTCTTCTCTTCTAAGTTGAAAATCAAAAACTGTTCCTGGAAAAGCACCTTGGGATGCTGAGAGTCCCTTGCTAGTGAAGCACACTGTTCCTGGTGCAGTGGTCACTCCAGCAACAACCACAGGACAGCGTAAGCCCTTCTGCGTACTGGTCAGACCACACACTCAGTTAAAAAGCTAAATGTGCCTAGCTTTAACTTTGCTGTATCATTAACATGCTCTTCCAAAGATAAAGAGAGTTTAATCATTGCCAATTTTAAATAATTTTAGCCAGTTTTTTAAATCTTTTCAAAACAACTTTAAAAATGTGAATATTTAAGGGAGAAACCTGTGCTGTGAGAAATCCTTAGCTTATTTGGCTTTTTAAAAGTGTCTATGTTTTTAAGACATCCTTTTTTTTTTTTAAACTTTAAAAATGTGAAACTTTTTACTGTAAGCTTAAAATTGCTTATTACATGTAATAAAAATAATATATGTGTATATATCTTTAAAATTTGAAATAAACCCATCCTTGGGAAAAACAATAACATCTTCTGTGTTGAATTTGTAGTATTTTAAGTGATTCAGTTCAACAGAATTTAGTCAGGCATTATATTCTTTCTGTAGAAAAATAAATACAAAAAAGAAAAAAAAAAATACAGTCTCTGTCCTGGCTGTGATGGTGGTGGCTGGGTGAGTCCTCTCAGGTGCCAGCAAGAACAGGAGGCTGCCTCCACCTGTGGGCAGGGGTGGAAGTGGGGGGGTGGGAGGGGTTGGCTGCCCCAAAGTGCCTGAGGGGGCCTTCAAGGGTAGTGGTAGCCTGGCACTAACTGCTCCCCCTCAGGTGCCCATGGGTTGACCCTCGCCTGGTCAGGGGCCAACAGGAATGGATTTACAGGGAAAGGCTTGGGCACTGTAAGCATAGCAGTGTAACGAGAAGGCTGTGTGTTGAGAGTTAGGGGAAAGGCCTGCAAAGGGCCGTGGGAGGATTGTTCTTGTGTGGTTAGTGCAGAGAAGGGTGGGGCAGCGAGCAGTCCTATGCACCATAGCACCATAGCATAGTGAAGGCGGAGGAAGCACAGGGCTTGGGTGTTGCCAGAGTGAAAAAGTGGGTGGTCTTGGGAGTTTGGGGGGAATAGCCAGGTCAGACCCCCAAGGACTGTGGAAGTCACTGGCCAACGCCCACCTTCATTCATGCAGAAGGGCATGCTATGGGGCATCATCAGGTCCAGCACCTGGCCTTGGTGCTTGGAGGAGACCCAAGACATCCTATTGCAGAGGTACCACAGGGGTGCTGCTATGGGGTGCAGAGTGCAGCTCACCAGCTGCAGGATGAGGCAGTGACCGCCAGAGGAAGAGCCAGAGGAGTCCAGTCCAGTATGTGTGGAGTGCAAGTAGAGGAAAGGCTGCAGGAAACCCTGTCAATGAGAAGAGTTGTTTTAGACAATTACAGATGACAGGAGTCATGAAAATAAGAGAATTTAGTTCTCAGTATACATGGGGAGAAAGCAGCCACATGGTCCCCAGGGACCTGCTTTTCCACACCATGGCCCTGCCACAGCCTTGCAAATGTGGAGCTGCGAGTCCAAGGTCTACTAGAGGTCTGTCTGTCTGCTTTCACTGTGCTCTGCTCTACCTTTGAGTCATCGTCTCCATCCCCATCTGCAGGCTGCAGGAACCATGCACTGGGAAGAGAGCCAATTGGGAACCCCACTGGAAAGTGTGTGTGTTTTCATTTCCTGAAAGACTTTAAAATTCAAATGGTGTTTGCCTTGTGCATGACCTGTCCCCACCCCTGCTTTTTCTCTTCTGCACCCACAGTGCTTCTCCTTCCTTGTAGCCAGTTCTCCTCTGGCCAACAGCATGAGCAGGGATCATACCTGGCAAGTACACACGTTGATGTTTTCCCGGGTCTGTGTCTGGCTGAGCTCGCTCAGTTCACGTGAGAGCAAGGAGCCTTCCTGTGAAAAACTCATGTCTAGGGCTCACAACTGGAATTCACTGATAGGTTTTGGGGGTTTCATGGTTCCCTCATTCCTCACATTGTGTGCAAAATTCTGTGTTCTCTGTGTAGCATTTCATTACTTTTCCTAGGTCCTCAAAGCATCCCCAGAAGGTTAACATCTGCATGAACACCGGAGGCCCATCTCTTGAAGGTCAGCGGCAGCTGAACTCTGAATGGAGCTGGAGGCCAAGTGTCATAAGGGCCGGGACCAGCACCAGAGTGGAGCAGAGTGAAGGGGCAGCTCCTGTTGGCCTTTACAAACTTCTTTCATCTCCTTTATCCCTAGACTGGTGTGGCCTAAGAGAACATGGACCTTGCTCTCCTCTTTCCTTTAAATGCTGATTAAACCATCAATTGAAATACAGAACTAGGAGCTGGGGCTGGGGCTCAGCAGCAGAGCACTCACCTCGCATGTGTGAGGCACTGGGTTCAATCGTCAGCACCACATATAAATTAAATAAAGTCAAGGTATTGTGTCTACCTATAACTAAAACAAAATTTTAAAAAAGAACTAGGTATGAAAATGTTTTTGAGACACTTACCTGTCCGCCGTGCCTGTGCAGAGCCTCTCAGAACTTCTTGGATTTGCAGACGCTCCATTGGTGTCCCCACTAGAGGTGGACAGTGGGGTTGTCCAGAAGCAGCAACAGCCGCGCCAGCTAGGTAATCCCAGCTGATCCACACCCAGTTTAGCTTTCAGGTAAGCTAGTTAGAGAACATAAAACTAGATGCTTCTGTGGAGAACAAGGGAGCAAGTTGAATTGCCAGTCCCTCATGGAAGAGTGTTCACTGTTTGTATGTAGAGTATGATGGAATTAATTGAAATCACCAGGGAATGGTGCTTTGAATTGCTTTTCCTATGTTAAAATTCAGATTTAATTTTGATTTGACTGAAATGAAATATAGCCTATGGGAAAAGGAGATAGTTAGAAAAATAAGGTGTTGAGATATTTTTAGTTTTTCTGAGTCTGCATTTAAATGTTATGCCTTAATAAACCAAGCAGTTGAATTAATGGGGAAAATTGGTTTTTAGAATTGTTAATTTCTTGGTATTATGACTGTGTTTACCAGCCCTAATTTTATTCACTGGTAATTGTGGTGGTCACAGACGGAGCAGCCAGCTTATGTGTTTGCGGTGGCCCACGTGTACTGCGGATCATTTCTATGGTCCAGGCAGTGTGTCCAGTGCCTTCCATCCATGGCCTTTGTTGGCAGTGCAGGGTCATCACACCCCTTGGTCTTCCAGAGCCAGTAGTTCACACCTGTGCAAAGGCCTCTCTCTCTGACTTATATGGGCCTGAATATAATCTTTCTGGTATTATATTCCAGTGACCGAAATTTGCTCCATGAATATTAAACTCATTCTGGAAGTGTCTTAAACCTTGTAATTAAAAGTCTTTACTCTGACAGAATAATTTCCCAATTGTGAATAATTATTGTTACTGTTATATTTGAAATGTGAAAGTAAAAGAAACTTAATTTGAAAATTAAATGACAAAAATATGCACAGATCTAAAGATATATATTTGATTTTGTTACCTGATCTTTCCAATCAACCAGCTTATTTGAGATAGTAAATTTAGTAACCTCTGGAGGAACACGATCACATATTTTGGAGATGGGCTCTTGTAACCAAGTGAACAGTGGTGACCTGGAGACACAGGCTCACCTCAGAATTCTAGTTCTCCAGTTCACTTGGACACTTGTGCCTTCCTTGTGCTCTGGGCACATTACAAAAAATTCCATGTAAATTATAAGTTGACTGGACTTCTTGACACTGATCACTTTTCAGTACATCTGTCCTGAAATCAAGTTTGGTCACCTTTTCGAGTGACCAAACTTAATTTCAGGACAGATGTACTGAAAGTAACTGTCCTTGCTGTAACTGTCACTAGCTGTCCACACTGACCAAATGGAACGCATAACGGATTCTGTAACAGTCGGTGCGGAGCCTGCAGCCAGCGACACACTGTTCTCCCTCCCTGCCTACAGGCCAACCCACTGTCCTAACCTCAGAGGGCCCAAGGTCTCAAGTAGCAGAGGTAGCTGGGCAGGGGACAAGGGCTACTGTCATTTGAATGGTGCTCAGAGTCAGGTGTTGGTGACAAGACACTTGGCATGTCCTTCTCTGCCTCTCAAGTGATAGGCACACGGACAGCCTCCCAGGTCCAGCTGCCATCACTGGGGCGAGCTGAGAGGACTGGGGGGAATCCCGGTTCCTGGTCTGGTCCTCGTGGGCATCAGTCCAACACATTTTGTGTTTGGCTTTTGCTGGTCAGGAATGGACTGAGTGAACCCCGCCTACCAGGTTGTGGGGGTCTCAGTCCATAACCTGACTCTGCCTTCTCGTTAGAATGCTAGTTAATCTCGCTCTGGTCTCACATTCCCCAGTGTGAGTCTCTGCCATCCCTCTAGAGCTGGGTGATATTGGGTGGTGCCTCCCATCTATAGGCCCCACTTTCCCAGGAGAGTGCTTGCTACATAGCACTCTCATATTCTGTCAGTACACATTAGCTCTTAGTATTAGGAGCCTGCCCGGCCACCCCACCTGCAGCCCTCCTGCCAGACAATCTGCTGAAACCTCTGAGGGTTAGGGACTAACCTGTAGCCCACTGAGAGAGGCCGACTCTGAATTCTGCACACCATCACTGATGCCAGCACAGCTTTTGAACAGCTGGGGTCTGCACATGATGTCCAGACATCAGCCATCGGTCGATTTTTCTCTGTAGTCCCTGCCTTTCTGGCTGTGCCCAAGAGATGGCAGCTGACCTCTTGCCCCCTAGTCCTCTCCTGGCACAAAACTGTCAGTCTGCAGCCACCTAGAAAATAATCTTAAAACCTAAACTATGATCATGTTAGTACTTGGGCACAGGGGCAGAGGCTGGCTGCTCTGAGTGGCATGGGAGTGCCCCTGTGAGCTGGAGGCCTGTCTTGGAGCTGTCTTTGCAGTCCGTGGACTGCATGTGGTTGTGAGGTTGTTTGGAAGTGCTGTGTGAAAGTTGTGGGGCCTAAACTACCACCAGGCTCTGGTGAGAAATGTTTCTTCCACCTATCAAGTTTCCTTATCTGCCCTGTGTCCACAGCCATCCAGTTCCCCAGTGCAGCCATGGGGGTGGTGGGGGGTGCCACCCTGGTATGACTGTTGGGCATATTGAGTTTACCCATGTTCACATATGCTCTGAGCTAATGTAGGTCTATAACCATCACACAACCTGGTTATGGACCCAGGTTTGCCCAGGAAAGCAGGTCTGATGGAAAAGTATTTTTGGGATATGTGAACAATTGAGGTTAAGTACTGCAGGGGCTGCACCTATGTTTGAAACTTGGATGCGGTGTTTTGTAACTGTAGAATTGTTAGTTTATTCAGCGCGCACTTGAATATTGTAGGAATGTTACATCTCCACAACCAGAATTTAAGTTGATGGTAAAGATTTGTCTTACTCATACTGATTAGCTGTAGGGATAAAATACTGTCTTGCTTGCAATAATCACTCATTAAAACAACTTGATGTCTGATATTTCCTATGTCATTATATGACTGAAACTGAACTGTTCTGCCTGTTTGTAGATACCAAGTTACGCTTTTAATTCTAAAACTTTAAGGAGTGGCATTACAGTTAGTGAAACCAAAGTGACTTACAGGCCAGGGGCGGGGCCCAGTGGCCAGGATGCCAAGACCCCGGGTTCTGTCCCCAGCACCGCAAAACAAAAACAAAAACGAGAGTGACTGGCTGGAACCGTCCCTGCCGCCCCGCCCCTGTTCCAGCCAGCCCTCTTTGTGATGCCGGAATGTGGCACTGCCAGATTGACCCGCGATTTCTTTCCCACCATCTTAAAAAGGTTTTCTCTCCCACGTACGCGGGCTCCACCGACGACCTAGGAGCCATCCGCCTCCCCGGGCGCCTGCTTCCCGCTGCTGAGGACTGAGCGCGACCTCGGACCCGGGAGGGCCGCCGAGAGACGCGGGGCGCGGCCGGGCACTTTGTCTCCGGCGCTCAACAGTCGGCGGGGACTCCAGCCCGGCGCCGCGCGGGGCTCGGCGGCCCGCGTCCTCGGCCGGTGCTCCGGCCCCTCCTCCCGCCGCCCGGCCGCCCGGCCCGGCGCCTCTCGGTGGCGTGGACCGGGCGGCGCCCGCAGCGTCCAGCCCCGGAACGCTGGGTTGGGGGAGCCCCGGCCGCAGGAGGGAAGGGGTGGGAGGCGCCTTCGCTCGAAGTCCCGGGGCTTGGGCGCGGGGATGTGAGGAAGCCGGCGATGCTGCGGCTGGACGCAGGTGGGTGCCGAGTGCGTTCGGGGCCGCCTTGGCCACAGCTGCGGGGGGCGCAGGTCGCTGGACCCCGCGGGGCGCCCGGCTCCGCTCGGCGCTCGGTGACCGAGACCCGCCCCTCTCCCTCCAGGGCACCGATGATCCGCCCGCTCGGCGGCACCATGCCTTTCCCGCCGGTGCCGCCGCCCCCCGCCCCGGCCCCGCGGGTCCCCGCCGCGCGCCCGCTGCCCGGGAGGCCCTGCGCGCCGCCCTCGTCCTCGCCGCCCGCCGCCGCCGCCGCCGCAGCAGCAGGGGAGAAGAAGAGGAGGCCCCCCGAGAGGCCGGAGGTGCTCCTCTCCAGCTCCTGGCCCTCCGCCACCCTGAAGAGGCCTCCCGCCCGGCGCGGCCCCTGTCCCGGCAGGACGCAGCCGCCGACCCCTGCGCGCGCCCCTCTCCAGGCCTCGCCCGGCCGCGCGGGGACGCCGGCCACCGGCGCCACGCCCCGGCTCGTCGGCTCCGGCACCGGCCCGGCGGGGGCCACCTTCACGGGGGCGGTGGCCGGGCCCGACGACGGCATGCGCTTTTCCTTGAGCCTCACCCCCGAGGCCATCCTGGTCATCCAGAGGCGCCACCTGGAGAAGCAGCTGTTGGCTCGGCCCCGCAGACCCTTCCCCTCGCCCTCGGCCGACCCCAGACGCCCCCTCGCCCCGGGCCCCCGGGCCAGGGCCACCGGCCTGCGGAGGGGCGGCGCCACCAGCGGTCCCGACGCGCCCCCAGCCGCGGGCCCTGGGCGCCGCACGCCGCCCCGCGCCCCGCTGCTGCCTGGCGGTCTACAGACCCCGGTGCCCGGCCCTCGACCCGCGGACCTGCGCCCGGTGCTCAAGGTATCGCTGCTCAACGAGCGGCACAAGTATGACGATGTGGAGTACGAGGAGGAGACCGAGGTGGTGGATGAGGGTCTGGTACGCAAATGCACCGAGTGGCTGCGTGGCGTGGAGTCTGCGGCTGCTGCGCGGGACCGCACAGGGCGCCTGGACACGCTGCCGCACCTGAGCACGCTGTGAGCCAGCTGAGCCTGGTGCCGCAGGATGGCCTACACGCCCACCTCCTCCTCCTGAACTCAGGGCTCCACCTGGGAACGCGGACCAGGTAGGCCTGCGGGGACTGGACGGCCTCCTGAGGCCGACCTCCAGCACACCTGCCCCAAGTGGACGCACTGGGGGGAAAAGCACGCCTCATGTGACATCCACCGTCCACCTCGTGGGCACCTGTATGCCAAGTAGGCACTCGTGGGACAAACAGACAGCCCTGTCCAGCTCCCACAGCCCACCTCCTGCCCACTCCACTCACCAGCCAGACGAGTGTTCTCTCCTGCACAATGTGGCCTCTATCTCAGAAGTCCACCCTCTGTACCTCTGGGCCTCCTCCTGGCTTCTCAGCTGTCCTTGCAGTTCATGGGGGAGTAGGCAGCTGTGAAGATGTCCCAGCTCCCACCAGGATTCCTTCAGGTCCCAGAGCCCCACTGCCCCGTGCTCTGCCTCCCTCACCCCACCCCCGCATACCCCTCCTCTTTCTGTAGGTGACCACACTGTGAGGGTGGGTGGCCACAGAGGGTGCCTGCCATTGTGAAAGTGGGACATGGTGCTACGTTTATGATTTTGCTCTCTTCCAACGTTGGGAGCTGGAAAGCTGGGGAACAGTGCTCCAGTTTCCAGCCTCAGGAGTCCTGTCAATGAGCTGTCTGGGGAAGCACTGCCCCATTGTCCCTGCACAGGTGGATTGTCACAGATTTGTGCTCTGCAGGCCGGGTGTGCATCACACTGGCCCCCACACAGGCACACACACATTCATGTACACAATCACACAGTCACACGCATGCAGACTCATGCAAAAACCAGCACTTATGCACACTCCCATATACATAGTCACACACAGGCACAGGCACTCTCGCAGGCATGCTCATCAGTACATGCACAAATCACACACTTATGCACACTCCCACAGACACACATGCACAGTTGCACACATGCACACACATATATACAATCTCACACCCATGCGAGTCACATTTTCACAGTCACACATACGTGTGTGCTCATGCACACATATTCAAATCATTCCCACCCAAGCACACTGCCACATACACACACTTAGTCATGCACGCCTGTTCCCTGAAGCAGTTTGGGGAATTATTTAATAGCTGGATTGAGGCGGGAGCAGGAGTAAGACTGGGCTTTTGTTAAAAATGTGGTCTTTGTTTGAAGGCTTACAAAATGTCTCCTGTGCCAGGGAAGGAAAGAGCCACCGGGCCAAGAGTGGTGGCACCAGGAGGCAGGGAGGATCAGTTGATTTGGAGGGAAGCAGGAAGTCCCTGGGGGTAAGGGGGAGGTGTGTACATGTTTTGGTGTTTTTTATCACTGTGAGTAAATCAGTGACATGGTGGCTTTGTACCGATGTAACGAGTGAGTTTTAAAATTGTATTTATTATTTGAATTAAGGGTGAGACACCTGTCTCAGTAGCCCCGCCCTTCCCCACTAACTGGATGCCGAATGCAGGACATTTCTTCCATGCATCTGAGTGCATTGAACTCTAAGGACAAGAAGGAAACAAGGAGACATGATCAGATAAGTTGGCTGTAGAAGAGTAATGCACTACCTCAATTTTTTACTTATTTTGTAATACTCAATAACAAGTTTAGTGTTGTTAGATTTTAATGTGTCAAGTCTAAATTATATTTTAAATTGAAGCCTTACATTTTTAGAAACTAATTTTATATTTTTCTTGTGGTGATCTTTGCTCTAATATTTATCTTAGTCTCTCTCTCTCTCTCTCTCTCTCAAGTTCTAGGCACAAATTCCATCAGACATGAGACATTGACTTCAGTGGGAGCTAGATCAGCCACCAGATGAGTTACACAAACAAAACCCCACCCACTGAGCAATTCCTCTTTTCTGACCCCTGTCCAAAAGCAGAGAAATAGATTTTATTCTACCTAAAATGAACATACTAATACTAAGAAAAGAGAAAAATTAGCAATACTGGCCAAAGTAAATTGGAGACACCCATGTGCCATAAATGTCTTTGTCCTCCAGGAACTTGGGTGAAGGTCAGCTCAGGAGGGCTTGCTGAGTGGGGGGAAGTGGGGCAGGTGGAGTCGGTGATGCCTGAGCTCAAGTGGCCCACCAGGTTGGCGGCACCAGTAGTTAACATACCCTGTTTGCTGCGCTTGCTCATGGGAACATCTGTGTTCTGAAGACTTTTCTGGTGGCCTCCTAAGGGGACCAGCCTACAAGGCGTCTTTCTGCCTCAATGTCCCCACACCCACCTGAAAGACGCTGTCACTCTCTTTGTTTTATTTTCTCTCCCCTCTTTCTTCCTCCAGGCCCCCAGCCCTGTCTTTCTTAACTGGCCACATTTTAGCACATCTCTCCAATCTGCATTTGTGCCCTAGGGTTTGTGCGCCTTGCCTTCAATCTAAGGGCAGATGAGGGGGATGTTTGTCGCCCTGGTTGACCAGAGGTGTGTACATGATGTGTAAGGTCTGTTTGTTGCTGTTCCTGACGTGTTCCTGGTTGAGAACATTTGCTAAGTCACTGTGCTACAATTTCTTACTGTTTAAATAAAAAAGAAACTCAATGGCTTGTTTGTCTCATTAAATAAAAAAGAAACTCAACGGCTTGTTTGTCTCATGGGGAGGATGTGAACGCAGGACAGAGAGAGATCTCTGGAGTATGAAGAGTGGTGCTCGCCTCAGGCCCAGGATTCCAGGGGTTGGCTGAGGGCAACTGATTTCACTACCTGAAATCACTTGGATTCAAGGATTCTAACAATGAATATGATCTGAGAAGGCAAAGCCAAATATGCAATGACACTTAAACTTTGAGGACTCACAAATCCTCATGAAGGCAATATTCCAAATATGCTCCTGAAAAATGTACCACATAGCAAGAAAATTACATGATCTATATGTATTTCATATAAATTAAAGCTCACAGATCCCAGATGAAGAACTCCTATATACACTCATTAAAACACGTTGCTTTTGCCTAGGATAGTTTCAAACTGGTTATATCAATCAGAATCTAATAGGTTAATATGAATCAGAAAGTAAATGTTCCATTTGAATATCAGCTGAGGCTATTAGATATGACAAAGGGGAAATATTGCTTAATAAGTATGCTTTGTCTTTGTATCTTTGGGTCCATGTAGAAAAAAAATAATGAAAGAATCTCTAGAAGTGTGATTGGAAAAAAATGTCCCCCATCTCTGTGTGTGTACATGCCTACCAGTATTATCAAATTCTCCCGCGACTAGATTGTCCAATAGGAGGGAGTGAGGCCGACTTCCAGCCAGGGGCCACCTTGCATGTGAGGCAGGGGACAGCACTGTACCTGTATCTCTGCGCATGTCAGTTCTGAAGACTGACCATGTAAAACTTCATTCCATGGATTTAGAGAATACCTGGAGCTTTAAGATAGGTATTTGTGTTGCTCTGCTTTTCTTTAGACAAAGTGGATGCCAAAGTGTCAGGAATTTAGTTCTGTGGTTTGTCAGAAATTTAACAGTTCCATAAATTGAGCTATTCAATTTCCAGCGGGCCATCTGCAGGATCTGGACAGGTTGAACTTCCTCCAAGATCATGATTTTCTACCTTTGTGTTTCAGCATGGTAGTTTCAGCCAAGTGTAGTGTATCATTCAAAGAAAATCCTAAAATAGAAATCTCTCTAATGAAAGAAAAGAACAATTTTGCATTAACATCAGTGTATATGGAAGCCTTTGTCACCTGTGGGAAAAGCCCAGGTTAACATATCTCAGACCAGTGATGATGCTTCTGGGCAGGTACTGATGGGAAGGCCTGCCACGGTGACCTCAGGTGTACCCCCCAGGGGCTGAGCATCTCCTGTAGCGTGAGGGAGAAGGCTCCACACCCCGGGAAAGCTGGGCTTTGGAGACCAGAGTTAATGCCGATGCTGTCATTCATTCGCCAGCTGTCTCCTTAACCTTCTGTGTCTGCTTCCTCTTCCGTCTAGGAGGGTGGTAACGCATCCATGATCCTGGTATGAGGTAAAGGGTACACTTCAGAAAGCGCCTGCTGTCTCCACTCAAGTCAACTGTGATTTCTCACTGTCTGCTCAAAAAATACCACTCTCTGACACTCTTATGTGCACCTTTGGTGGGGCTGCTCTTTCACTCCCGTAGGTATTAAAGAATAAAAATGTCGGCTGATCTGGGAGAAGAACTCAGCGGCTTGGCATTCTCAAGACCCTGAGTTCAATCCACAGAACTGGGACTGGGGGGCAGGGAGGGTATTTTGTTGTTGTTATTGTTGTTGTTGTTTAATATTTATTTATTTTTAGATGTAGTTGGACACAGTACCTTTATTTATTTATTTTTATATGGTGCTGAGGATCGAACCCAGGGCCTCACACATCACAACCCCAGCACTAGGCTATTGTGTTTTACTGCCATATCTCATTTATTTCCTGAAGACAAAAATGTGGTTCTGAGTTTCATGGTAGCAGATGCAAAGTTAGAAGTAATGTATTATATAATCTCAACATTTAATAACAAGAAACATGTTATAAGAGACATTTTAGAAAAAATCATAGTAGATGTTTAAACACCAGTCATAGACCTCATGTCCTTAAATGCAGTGTCTCCAAGACGTATGAATGCTTGTGAAGGGGCACCCCCTTTCTCCACAGAAAAGCCCTCTTCACCATGGCTGATTTTAGGACTGTCAGCAAAAGAGTCCATTGTAGATAAACTTCCTATTTTCATGTCACCCTGCTTACTTGGCCACTGGCCGAGAAGATACCAGCACTCCAGGTGATGGACACCCCCTTACTAGTTATCACAAACGTCTCCAGTATAGTACTTTGAAGAAATGTGCAAACAAGGCCTCTGGCCTTGAGCTGGGCTTCACAGAGATGTCTACATTTTTAAGATAAGTTACAAATGGGCCCATGGTAACAGCTGACAGGGGAGGAAAGAGAGGGGAGAAGAGGCTCCCCCTTCTCAGGTGTTGTCCTTGAAGAGTTAACTTGCCCAGAACAGTGAGAGAAATAGCTGATTTCATGTGAACTTCTGCAGACTGTGAACTTCTGAGCCCCTCCCCTTACATGCTGGGGATAAAACTCGGAAACTCCCTGAACTCGGGGTTCGGGGGATTGATTGATTACAGCAAAAGCTGTGCCCTCTGAGCCTGGCTGCAGCCAAATAAAACTATTTCCTGCCGTCTTGGGTGCCTGGCCTTGTCTGTCCCTACAACACTTTCCTGCTCTGCCAGCCCTTGATGAAAGCCAGTGGGGTGGGACTCAGTTGTACCTTGACTGTGTTGGGCTTGTGGAGGTGGATCACAGGCAGACCTGCCAGGCTGGGAGAGTCTTTAGGAAGTAGTCCACATCTGCTCGAACACTGGCCTAAACCCCAGGGATCAGTACACTCAAACTGTAAATGTAAGACATAGTTCTCAAACTTTCTGGCCTGAAGACTCCTTTACACTCCAACACAATATTGAGAGGAACAAGAGTCTTTGTCCATGTGGGTTTTATCTATTGACACTGCATTTGAAATAAAAGATCCCAAGGGGCTGGTGACCCTCGACTATCTTCAGGCCACCACTTGGAGAACCATTGGTTTCCCAGGACACATCAGTTCCCCAGCCTTCCGTGGGCACTCGCTAGCTGCTGTCAACTACCAGGAAACACTTCCAAATACAGATTTCCCAGGCCCAGAGATTCTAATTTAGTATATCTGGGAAGGGTCTTGGGCAGGAGGGGCCTCAAGTTGTGGCCAGGCTTGGAAACCCCTTTATACTGCAAGAAATATAAGACGGGACTCAGAAAATATGACAGTTTCCCTACTTGTCCTATCATGAAAGATCCCATTGCCCTCTGGCAAGATCAGAGCCACTTCTTCTAGGTGGTTATACCCCTACTGTCAGCCAACTCTTCATTGCTGTGACCAAAATACCTGACTAGAACAACTTAGAGAGGAAAAAATTATTTGGGACTCATGGTTTCAGAAGCTCAGTCCACGGTGGCCGACCCCACGGCTCTGGGCCTGAGGTGTGGCAGAACTTCTGGCGGAAGAGGAAAGCGACTCAGGACACAGCAGCCTGGAAAGGACCGGGAGGGGCATCAGGGACAAAATATAAATCTCGAAGTCACACCCCCAGTGAGCTTCTTCCTTCAGCCGTGTCCCACCTGCCCACAGCTGGCATCCAGTAATTCATTCAAATGTTTAATCCACCAAATGGATTAATCCACTCTTAGGTTACAGTTCTCATTGTCTCCGTCATTTCACCTCTGAACACTCCTGCTTTGTCAAAGGAGCTTTTAGGGGACACCTCATATTCAAACCGTAGCACCGTCCACGTGGCAGGGAGAGCATGAGGCACTGACCACAGTAATGAAAAAGATCACGCTCCAGCCTCATGGCCACCGGCCCAGCATTGCCTGGAAGAGATGGTGCTGGCGTCTGGGTGGCCTTGCCGCGACCCCGAGTTCTCCTTCCCGGACCACGTTATAGAACTGCCACAGTCAGCTCTGTGTTGTGATTCAGTGCTTCCCAGGTAGGGACTTAATAACGTACCTCACTCCATATCTGTCACCGTATTACAGAGTGGAGGGGCTGGCTCCAAGGACCAAGGACATGTGGACCCTGGTTAAGCGCCAACTGTATGTAGTTCAGTGTGTTGTGACTTAGGAACAAGCTAATGAATAATGCAGACTATTTTACTTGAAGCACAACAGCCTGGGAGGAGCCCAGAATAATTTGGCTGTTCCTCTGGAACTTCTCATGCATTTCTCCTGGACGAGGAGCACAGGAGAGGCAAACTGACTGGACCAGCTCCCTGCAGGACTGAACGCCCTCGCTTGTTAAAAGGTGTGATTGATATCAGTTGCCAAGAGCAATGATTTTGGTTTGAGGACGATTTCTTTTGAGTCGTTCTTCAGGACAGCCGTTGCTGTGTTTGCTCAGGCCACCATAACAGAGGGTCACAGACTGGGTGACCTGAAAGACATTTTTTTTTTTTCATGGTTTTGGAGGCAGCGAGTCCAAGATGGAGGTGTGGGCCTGTCCCCTGGGCTTGCTTCTCACAGGGCCTCTGGTGTCTCTTCCTCTTCTTAAAAGGATACAGTCCCCTCTGCTCAGAGTCTACCTGTGACCCAACCCAGGCTTGATTACCTTGTCAAGGCACTGGCGCCGACAGAGCACACGGGGAATTACAGCTTCCACGTGTGGATTTTGAGTGGGACACCTTTGCCCATACCCGGTCCCTGACCCGATGCTCTGTAAGGCTGCAGATCCGACTCCAATGGCAGGACGTGAGCGTCCACTCCTTCCTGCTGCCTACTGTACTCACCCGGCACAAGCAACTTGAGAAGCATCAGATGTGAGAAGAGCAGGCTTTACTGAAATCCGAATGGTCCTTAGTCCAGCCTTTTTGTTTCTCTGGACAAGAAGGCGGAGGTGAGGTTTGTCCACTGGGGCAGAAACCTTCAAGCCAGGTCAGGTTGGTAACCCGGGATTCCCCGCCCCCCCTTATTTCTGCCTTCCTGTTTCACTTGAGCTGTGGTCTGGACTCTCTGTAGCATCTGCCCTGGGGCAGCCGTAGAGGGAAGGGCCGAGAGGAGGCCAGCCCGGGCTGTCCCCGCTGCTGCCGGCTCTGCCCAGCGCCTCACTCGGGTGTGTGTAGCTGGCCGCCCTCTGCTGTGTCTCCTCTCATCATCTTACCACCTCCTCCTCCTCCTCCTCTTCTTGGCCCTTTCCTTTGCCCCTCAGGTCCTCTTCTCAGGTGGCCTCTGCTTGGGGAAAGTCCCGCTGCCCCTATGCCCAGAACTACGAGGAGGGAGGGCAGCCCGCCGTGGCGTGTGGGTGCTCTGGGGGTGCCCTCGCCCCCTTCCTTCTCCTCTGCACATTTGCACCTTCTCTCAGGACACCTGTGCAGGGACCCAGGCACACACCTGCTGCTGAAGCCAACCGGGGCAGCGTGCCCTCTGCTTGGAGTGGGGGGTGGTGTGCGGGGCTGTCTGAGAGCTGGTCCCCTGCACAATTCCTGCAGGCCGCGCCTTCCTGTCCTCCACAACCCCGGAGGCTCGGGCTGCTGTGCAAACTAACGGCTGCCCCGGGGCAGGGAGGACGAGCCTCTTGAGCCTCTCGGCAGTCTAGTCGGCAGCACAAGGTAAGGCGGGACTGAGGCACAGCGGAGCTGAGCTCCTTGCCAGGGCCACCCGCGCACAGGCTCTTCGGCATCATGCACAGGGCCCAGCTTCGTACCGTGGGGGAGCAGACTCAGAGGCCCTGCCAGGACCCACCTCAGCGAGGTCCAGACTGCCAAGGGCTCACGGAGCATGTGCATAGAGTTAGGCAGAGTGGCTCAGCAGAAGTCAGTTAAATAGGACACAACGACAGAGGTCAGAAAGGCCCAGAGTCGGTTATTTCAAAACATTAGATCGAGCAACCCTTGGTCACTGACATGGTGAGCACGCTGCCGTTAACATCCACCAAATGCGCTGCAGCGTCCACAGTGGCAGGATTTGCTGAATAACAGTAAGTGCTCAAGCGACACCACTTCCTTTTTTCTTTAATTTTGTTAATTTGTTCTTTTTAGATATACATGACAGTATTTTGACGTATTGTACGTGCAGTTTCACTGGTCGTGTATTCTTACATGAACTCAGGAGAGTGATGTCCATCCTCTCTACTGCCCTTCCATTCCCGTCCCCCACCTGGCCTTCCCCTTTGTCTGATTCAATGAGCTTCTGTTCTTCCTCACCCTTCCCTCACTGTGGGTTAGTGTCTGCACATCAGAGAGAACATTCGGCCTTTGGTTGGGGGCATGGGCTCATTTCATTTAGCATGATGGTCTCAGATCCTGACATCACCAGCTAATGTCAGGCCTCGCCATTTTCATCGATGGCAGTTCACTGAACACTTGTGGGTCACCTGGCATCATAAGCCAGGCAACCGCAGGCTCTTTTGGTATTGGGGATTGAACCCCGGGGCGCTTAAACACTGAGCCACACCCCTGGCCTTTTTATTTTTTGAGATAGGGTCTCACTAAGTTGCTTAGGGCCTCATAAATTGTGGAGGTTGCCTTTGAGCTTACAATCCTACTGTCTCAGCCTCCCACGACTCTAGGATTATACACGTGTGCCACCAAACCCAGGAATCATAGGCTCTTTTATTCCAATCTTAATTTCTAATATCTGAAACATTCAAGTCACACTGTTTTATATATGTATATATGTCATGTTACAGAAAGGCTAAGGAAGGGGTAAGGCAGCCACAGGGGTCCAGGAGGCTGCAGAGAGTAGATCCAAATGCAGAGAGTCACTGTAGGTGTCAGAAAAGACTAGGAACCAGCTGGGGCACAGAGCTGTCAAAGGACAGGGGCTGATTCTAGGCTGAGGTCCCCAAGATGGCAGTTTCAAAGTGTCAACATGGACTGTTAACTCTAAGTGTCAGCTTGGAGTGGGCCACACGTGTTCATCACAGGTAGGAGAAATAATCCGCACTGTGCGGAAGCCTGAGGACAGAGATTCGGACATTGTTCAATGTGGTGATCTTCCTGGCCAAGGCTGAAGACCATTGATCAGGTGAGGGGCCGAAGGCCACGGTGTCCAGTCTTGGGGTGCTCCTACTTTTCTGGGCTTCTAGTGAGGAGGTTGCTTCATTTGGGGCTCAGGTGTGTTTGCTGGTGTGTTCTATAAGCTCGTGGGCCTGGTTTTCCCAAAGGAGTTTGATAAGTCCCTGCGTCTATATGCTTCTGATTAATTCAACAAGTGCACAGGTGGTCGTTTTTATTGGCATGATTAATTTGATTTCAACTTGTGCCTTGTGGTTGTGCCTGGCATACAGTGGTTGTTTACTTGTACAAACAGGAATAAAGTCACTCAATATCTGCCCTTAAACTCAGAATAGAGTAGTTCTTGTCAAACTGCTGCTTTGCAAAATGGAGAATCAAAGGTTAGGAGCAGCCTGAGGACTGCTGTTCTGCACACCATGGAGTCACTAGGGTAGGCACAGCCTGAGGACTGCTGTCCTACACACCATGGAGTCACTCAGGGCAGGCGCAGCCTGAGGACTGCTGTCCTACACACCATGGAGTCACTAGGGCAGGCACAGCCTGAGAGCTGCTATTTCACACATCATGGAGTCACCCAGGGCAGGCTCAGCCTGAGAGCTGCTGCTCTATGCACCATGGAGTGACTTGGAAGGACACAACCTGCTTGCCACACTGATCAAGATAAAAATCCAAAACTGGGTGCGGTGGTGCACAACTATTATCCCAGAGGTTCAGGAGGCTGAGACAGGAGGATCATGGGTTCAAAGCCAGCCTCAGCAAATGCGAGGCCCTAAGCAACTCAGTGAGACCCTGTCTCTAAATAAAATACAAAACAGGGCTGGGGACATGGCTCAGTGGTTGAGTGCCCATGAGTTCAATCTCCAGAACCAAAAAAAAAAAAAGACAGAGAGAGAGAGAGAGAGATAAAAACTCAAAATTACAAATTATAAAGATAAGAATTAAAAGAAGGGACGTAACTCTGGAATTTTTAAGGAGCATTTGGACAGCCTCATAGACGGGGGTCAAAGGCCTTCAGCCCATCTAGTGTGCTGCAACAGTGTTATCAGAGCAGGGGCTGACCAGTGTCTTTTTTCTGTGTTATTTTAGCAAAGCGTTCCTTCTGTGGTCAACATGTAAGTGGCCAAACATTGAAGGCAGCTGATGCACATGTGACTGAGGCTCTGGTCAGGCTGGAGGAAGGAGAATTTTGCCTTTATTTCCTTCCGCAAAGTAGTAGCTACTCACAGCTCCCTAGTTACATTGTCACAGGAGTGTCCTTTGCAGACAAAGTCCAGTTCACATGAGCACAGCATTTAGCTGTGGAGTGCGCCCTGCACCCTGGGTGTCCACTGCCTGCCCTCCCCTGCATAGGCTGGGACCACGCCCAGCCAGCACTGCACTCTGGGGACCCTCTCTGCTCCAGAGTCTGGTGTTGGAGGTCCACTTGCCCACCAACTCCTGTAATGTCATCCAGGGGACCTGCATTAATTTCTGAGTTCTCACCTTCACCATTGGTTTGAAGGTGACTCTTTGGCTGGGCTGGTGCACCAGGAGGGCAGTTCTGTGTGACATGGGAGTGGCAGCAGCCAGTCTGTGCCAACCCACAGTCACAGCCTCCCTCTCTGAGGCTCCCTGCTCTGCCCTGCACTGCGCACCCAAAGGACTGTCCCGAGATGTGCACTGAGGACAGCGTCTCCCCAAGTCCACTCTTGATGCCCTTCCTGCACATCCCGGCCACTCTGTCCCTGCGCAGCAGAGGGGCCAGCAGTGCTCCAGCTTCATGGCTGTTCAGGGATTGCAGAAAAAAGAGCAGCTTTATTAAATTATCTCACAAGGGAGGGGTGGGCTGGGGCAACTTGGTTATGAACGTGAAATCCTCATTCCAGGGACTTGCTTACAAGACACATGGGGGAAACTGACTGGCAAGATGAGAAGGAAGAGATGCCGAGGGATTGGGCAGCTTGAGAAGGAGCCGGGGACCCAGGTGTCCTGCTCATGATGAGGCAGGCTGGCTGCTGGGGACCCAGGCCCAGCCCTTGCCCAGCGAGCAGCCTCTCAGCACCTCCCCACTGGGCTCCTTTCCAGGTGTGGAGGCCTGTGCCAGGCACATGGTGGGACGGCCTTCTCTGTCATTGGTCACCATCGTGTCTCATCCTTTGGCACAGGACAGGATACGAGTCTGGCTCGACTAGAACGCTGGGCGTCAGGGGCACAATTGAGCCTAAGAGTTGGGAAACAAGGGCCCCAGTCTGAGTCCTCTCATCAGGGTGTCAGAGAGCACACATGTGCCTGAGGCAGGGACAATGGCTTCACTCACCCGGCCAGCACAACACAGCACAGCAGGACTCCTGTGCCATTCCCGGGTCTGCGGAATGGCAGACCTGTCACCATGGTCCCCTGTCACCACGGTTCCCTGTGGAGTGGAGCAGCCAGCTGAGGGGAGCTCCTGGATGCTTCACGCTTACCATGAACTGCCACGCCCACCCCCAGGGGGCTCCAGGGGCAGCCAGGCCACCAGGGAAGCCATACGCCATTCCTGGGCTTCCGCCCTCACCAGGGCACTGGAAAAATGGGCTCAGCACCTTTCACGGGGAGGGAGCTCATGTGGCTCCTGAGAAAGGATGGGCGGATGGCCAGGGGGAGATTTGTCACCATCAGAGCCAGGGGTTGCCACATGTCCTTCTTAGGTCACTCTTCTGTTGTTCTAGAGCCATCCAGAGTTGGGGTTAGGCAGACTATGTGGAGCTGAGTGGGAGGGCAGGTTTGGGATTTGTGGGGAACTGACTGAGAGTGGTCGGTGGGTGCTTGTGAACACAGAGGCTGTCTGGAGGGCTGGTGCTGCCTGGTTCCTCAGTTCTCTGTCACCATGGTCCCCTGTCACCACAGTTCCCTGGCCAGCCATCAAGATAGCAGACCAAATCCATAAAATCACATTATCGTCCACCATGCTTTGGACCCTGTCACTGGAGGGCACCACACGCCCCTGGGTGGCTTGCCACTTGCTGGTGCCCCCAGGCACTTGGACTTTGTCCTGTGGCCTGGGTGTGTTGATGTGTCCACAGTTGCTCTTTACTTCTAAGACCAGCATTTCAGGTTCTTGGCTGTCCTGCGCTGCAGCCATTTCTCTGGCCATAACAGAAGCCATGAGCTCCCCACAGGGTCAGTCCTTCCCCGAGGCTGAATGCTGTCCCACACTGAGGGACTCAGCACTCAGCTTCTGACCCTGCCAAATCGCTCAGCAAATCCAGAGGTAGCCTGTGCCGGTCGCTGGGTGTTAGTGGCAAGTTATCCATCCCGGGTGGCAGACAGTCCCAGGAAGTGGTGGACTGGGGCAGCCAGGAGACACCAACATGTCCCTCCTGAAGCTTAAATAGGACTCCTTCATATTTGACCTTGATATGATCACAGGGTGGACTGCGCACCTGCTCTGGGTGCTGCCTTGGTGTGTCTACCTCTTGCCATGTCAGAGGACCTGGAGGTGGTCTCACATGGGCCACCAGCTGTGTCCTCTGTTAGTCCATTTTCTGTTCCTACACGCAGAATCCTGCAAAGAAGCCAAGTTATAAACTAACAGTTTTTTTTGGCTGGAAAGTCCAAGGTCAAGGGCCAGCATCTGGGGAGGGTCATGGTGCATCATGCTGTGGTGGACAGCAGAAGAATCCACGAGAGACAGAGCAAGCAGGGCCAATGGACTGGGGCTACCCGTTCCCTTGAGGACTCCTGTCATCCACCTGAGGACCCTCAGAGCCCCATACTTGTACAGTGGCAGAGGTCAACACGAGTCCCAGGGGACACTCAACCACAGCGCCTACCTGCCAAATACACAGGTATCTGACAGAGGCAAAGACAAACTGCGGCCAGGCCCCACAGCCAGGCCCCGCGGGGTAGGGCTGTTTCCAGTTAAAGCTTTCTTTTTGTTGGTGGGGTGGTGGGTAGGACTGTGGATTGAGCTCAGGGGCACTTGACCACGGAGCCTCATCCAATTATGGATTTTGTATTTTATTTAGACACAGGGTCTCACTGAATTGGTTAGCCCCTTGCTTTTCCTGAGGCTGGCTTTGAACTCAGGATCCTCCTGCCTCAGCCTCCCGAGCTGCTGGGATTATAGGAGTGCCTCCCTGCTCCTGGCTAGAGTCTTCTTTAGTGAATTTTTAAGATTTTCCAATTGTTTGTACTCATTGTGACTGACGATAGCAGATGTGCAAAGACAGAGTTTGGTGTTCCCAAACCCCCTCCCAGGGCTTCCTTCCTAAAGTGGCCACAGTCAGCCTAAGGGGGTTCTACCAACCTTCCCCACAAACGTTAGACTGTTATCCTGGCTTTGGTGACACCTCACTCTGCATTTGCAATTAAAAAAGCCGAAGGCAAATTAATCTCATTTTCTTTGAGTTCAGTTTGAAAGATACTTATCTATATTTAAAGAAAGACTTGCCTGTTTACTCAGCAAAATCTCCTCACAGCTACCCCTGTTGATCAACAGGGCTCCTCGAGCCTGCCACATGCATGGTGACCTGGGCAGATGTTGTGGGCCACAAGGGCCTGCGCTGGGAAGCATATGTGTCCAGTGGCAGGAGGGTGGCCATGCTGGGCAAAGGGAAGACCCTGCAGTGTCCACACCTGGTTGTGGGGCGACTTGCTCAGGAGACTCCAAATCCACAACAACTGCAAATCCTGGCCTTCCCAGGGGCATTCTGGTTCACTAAGATTCTTCCCTCCCATCAGTTCTAATTTATTTTGGAAAATTCATGGTTTGGCCGTAGGCAGCTGAGAGGGCATCACCCGATCTTCTTGTCCTCTCCTCTGGCAGGTGCAAGGGTCATCTTTCTGTGCTCTCCGGAAGCGGCCTCTCAGGTCATCCTGAATCAGCAAGGGACCCTCAGTGCACAGCAAATCCAGAGTGGGAGATGGTTGGCTTTATTCAGAATTCTCCATGCTTCATGGTCAAATGATAATTTCTCACAGTGACAAAACCCCTAAAGGAATGAATCCAGGGCAAGATACCATCCTGCTGCCCTCAAGACACACCTGAGTTCTCCAGCCCGACGTCCAATCCAGCCAGCCTGGGGCCGGGGGGGCTGGGTGCAGGCAGTTCCGTCTCCCTGACACCCACGTTCCGAATGCTCCTGCAGAGGTCTTGGGAAAGCTGCTGTTTGTACATCCAATGACCAACTGCAAAACCGATTCACCTGGTTTCTCTGTTCTCAAAAATTTAATATCATTAAAAGTTTATAATCAAGTACAAATTTTATTTTATAATTTGTGACAAATGGAAATACTAGATCCCTAGGGACAATGAAGGAAACCCTCATGGCTACACAACAGTGAAGTGAAAGATCAGGTGGGCTCTGCTCTTGACACTGGCCTGTGTCACTGCCCAGGCACCGCAATGTCTGAGAATGCCTCTTGAACGCTGAGTGGACCCATGTGTTCTGTACTGACCAATTCGCCTCATTTAATTCACGGATCGGGAAGGATGGCTACAGTGCCCGTGAACGGGGGCTCAGATTCTACTTTCTTGGCACCTGGAGAAATCCACAGGCAGGCAAGATGCAGAGTGAAGGCCTCCGATGACTCCAGAGGGAAACAAGTGACCGGTGGCCACCGTGGTTTCCCCTGCAGTCCAAACTGTCCCTCTCAGCTGTTAGAACTTTAACTGGTTGGGATTCTCCGCGGCCACTGGACTGCAGTCTCCGGTTTACCCTTGGAAAGCTCGCCTTGGTCGCCACTGCATGTCGTTTATATCCATCTTTACCTAAAGAATTAAGTAGCCAAATGAGACTGTGATCTAACAAAGACCTCACAAAGATCTAACAGAACGCGCAGCAGCAAGAAAGTGATCTCCAAGTCTCCTCCGCGGGAGCACCCACAGCATCAAACCAGCCAACAAGCTGAGGTCCTCGTGCTAGTAGGTTCTTGACCTATGTGCCAGGGGCCCTGGAAAGGATGGGGGATTTTCACATTTTGGGGGGTGCCATATCCTGTGGGTAATTAACACTAGGATCACATCCCATGGCTTTTGGCAGGTGTAACCTTCAGCTTTGTTTGTGACTTGAAGCGTCTACTCTCTGCAGAGCGTGATAGCACAGTGCAGTTGGCAGAGCTACACACTAACACACACGGGGCTTAGACCCATCATTAATTGAAGACAATGATGGAGTTGGAAATGTAGCTCAGTGGTAGGGCCCTTGCCTGGTGGGCAGGAGGGCCTGGGGTCCACCTCCAGTACTGCCAGAATAAATAATAGATGAACACAAGTGACCCGAAGCCCTGCTCTTCACTGTCTGCAAAAGCATTTAAACAGCAAAGCAGAATGCATTTTTTAGGATTCTTTGGTTTTGGGTGAAGTGGATCAGGATGTGCCACTGGAAACACGCCACCTGGGTGTGAGAGCTATTTTGAGCTGATGAAGGTATTTGCCTGCCACCCCTCATCTGCCTGAAAGCAGAGAGCCCTAGAATTCACGAATTAAATTCCTCCCTCCGGGGCACCTGAGCCTGCTCTCTTCAGAGAAAAGCTGTGCCGCCCCAGACTTTGGGACAAGAGGGCCCAGCTCCCAACCCTTCTCCTAAAGGCCCATCGATTTCCCCCAAGAGTCGGCTCTGCAGAGCCCCATCCCTGCCCCTCCCTGGGCCTCATGGATGCCTGCTCCCGGTGGCTGGTTCCTGAGCACCAGTCTGCTTTTCTCTTGTTCTTCTGTCTGCTGCTGGTTTAATTCAGGGGTGCCCCCACCCACTCACCCCCTCATTACTAACCCAAGAGGATAGAGGAAGAGTTTTTCTCCCCCTGTTAACAGCGGAAGCCCAGCCTGCTTCCACCCATAAGGGAAGCTGGAGTCGGCCGCGGGACGGAGGTGGAATGGGAGCCAGGGTGGGAGCCGCCGCCGGGAACCAGGCACAGGGCCGGCCTCTGCCCTGCCCTCACTCCCTCAGGTTGCAGATTTTGGGGAGGGGGCCGCTGTGGTTTGACAGCCCTCTCAGAACAGTACAGGGAAATGAGGGCTCCTGGCTAGAGGACAGGTGCGTGTTGCCTGCCAGGACCCTCACTAGCATGGAGACCTACCGCATGCTGGGCACCGGGTGCAGCAGCTGTCCTCACCCAGTCGCCGGGTCTAGTCGCGAGGCAGGCCCTGGCCTGAGAGCTTGGGGTGCACCGTGGAACACAGCAGCCCCACAGGCCTCATATTTCAGACATGGAGAGGATGTGGGAGGCTCTGTGGTGCACAGGTGATTTGTGCAATTGAGGGAAAAAAGCAGATGAAGGTAGATCAAGGGCATGCAGGTAGCAGGCTGCCATATTGAATCAGGAGGTGGATCTGAGCAAAGCCTTTAGCAAGGTTGGGTCGGGCCACGTACTAGGGACGCTCTGCCTTGGCCAGCAGACCGACCTGCCAACAGCAGGACTGAGCTGCAACAAAGTCCAAGGAGCTACTCAGGAGAGAGTCGGCGGAGCATATGGGACCTGGGAAGCAGGACAGGGTCCCTTGTCCAGGTCTGTGTGTCCAAGTGGCATCTACACAGAGGGGTTTTTGTGCTCTCAGCCAGCATGCCCTCTGCAGCAGCTGCCAGAGGCCAGGGCAAGGCCCCTAAACCTGGGCCATCCCCTCTCTCTGCCAAGGGAGACATGGTAACCAACTGTGCAACTGGTTTGTCTACTCTATTGCTACATTGTCTCAGTAGTGGCTTGAGGAAATTTGAAACATCTTTAAACAGGCAATTAAGTATAGAAAGAGACACTCTGTAGCTTGATGCTGGTCACCTCTGTCTTTATCCTCCTCCAGAGAGACCGAGGTGTTCACCAAGCTGCTGGGCACAGCCACTGGTAGGGCAAGGCCACCTTTCACACATGCCTCTGGATCCCAACCAGAGGAGGATTATTCTTTTTTTTTTTTTAAATTTTTTATTGTTGGTTGTTCAAAACATTACAAATTTCTTGACATATCATATTCCACACTTTGATTCAAGTGGGTTATGAACTCCCACCTTCACCCCATACACAGATTGCAGAATCACGTCAGTTACACATCCATTGATTTACATATTGCCATATTAGTGTCTGTTGTGCTCCGCTGCCTTTCCCATCCTCCCCCCTCCCCCCTCGCCACCTCTCCCCTCCCCTCCCCTCCTCTCTCTCTACCCCCTCCACAGTATAACCCTGAGGGTCTCCTTCCATTTCCATGCAATTTCCCTTCTCTCTCCCTTTCCCTCCCACCTCTCATCCCTGTTAAATGTTAATCTTCTTCTCCTGCTCTTCGTCCCTACTCTGATCTTAGTTACTCTCCTTCTTGCTAAGTGTGAGTACCCTGCCCTTGGTTACTGGGTAACAGTATTCAGAGTATTTTCGTGACCTTTGTCTCATTGTTCTACTAAGGAAAACACCATGGTGAGAAAGCCAGTCTGGCTCCCCAGGGCGGAGGCGTTGGGCAAGGGAACAATGCAAAAGAAAAGAAGAGTTGCTCAGAGAAGGAGTCCTGGGGTCTGCACTGGGGAGGGAGCCATGAGCTCAAGGCACTTGTCTCCTCCAGATCAGGGGACCCTCCGCTCCGGGGATAGTTGATTTAATAATTTCTCTAAACAAACCTTTAGCTTGCACTCCCTTTTTGGTGGGCATTGTAAATACCTATGGCACAGGGATGCCTGCCCCACGACTACCTGATGTCTGTGCACCTTAGGGACATTGGATTCTTCTTGGAACAGTGTCTGGAGAGTCTTCCAAGAGCACAAACATACTGGACTATTTCTGTTGACTTCCTCTGGGAAGGTTTCATGGGTGCGCCCTCTGACACGGTACCTGGGAACCCTTTCCCCTGCACCCCAGGACAGTGGGCTCAGGGATTTTTAAAGTATTGATTTCATGGGCTGCAGCAGTAAGAATACAGCTTGTTGGATTTCTTTGAGGATTAGAGAAATTGACCTTTTTCTTTATTTTCACGAGGTGATTGTCTTTGTCTGTTCCATGATAAATTGCTCACCATGGCTGCTCTGAAACATTTTCTGTTCAGTAAATGAAAACTGACAATGACAATAATGACAAACATGTAAAAAGTATTTAGTGCCTAGAGTAGAGTAGATGGAGGGAACAGGGGAGGGAGAAGGAGGGAATCAGGAAGCCCTGGAGAATGAAATGGAAAAGATTAAATTTCATGCAGGTATGATTACATCAAAACAAACTCAACTATTGTGTGTGTGTGTGTGTGTGTGTATATATATATATATATATATATATATATATATATATATATATATATAAAATACACTAATGCAAGCATAAAAATACAAATTTTGTTCAATAGTATCACATAAAGTCTATTTCCTAGAAGGAGGTATTATTAAAAAAAATAGTAGTGTCTGCTCAGCTTCACTTTCAAACACTGCACATATATTAACTGATTTAATTTTCTTGACACTTTTGAAGTAAGCATCATTTTGCAGACAAAAAGATTTTGAGGCCCGGAAGGGGTCAACTTGCCCACCATCACACAGTAAGAAACAGGGGAGCCAACACTCAAACTCAGGGCAGCTTTGCTTCTAACCACTGCCCCACGTATAGTCTCCCAGGGGCTTGAGGGACAGGGGGCAAGAGTACTTCCTGTTTTATGATGAGTAAAGAAACTCCCTCAGCGGCGTTTCACTTTCCTCCCCCTTAGATCAGCACTCTGTCCTGGCTGCAGCCCTTGAAGCTGAGAGGGTGGGGCTTGTGTGGCCACAACAGGGGTGTCCATCTCTCATCAGGGGGCCCTGTGACTTCCAGGCTGGGGTAAACTATGAGCAACAGGAAGTAGCTTCAGTTGTGCCCCTATGTAGCTGCCCGGCGACTGGGCAGCTGACCACAGAGGCAACCGCATCAGGTGGCACATCCTCACTGCCCAGGCAGCTGTCCACCCTGCATAGGGCAGCATTCTGTAATGGGTCTGGAGCGGCCTGGAGGCCCACAGGGCAAAGGCTTGTTCCCCAGGGGGTGCTATGGAGAGCTGGTGGACATTTCAGAGGGGTGGGCCTAGTGGGAGGTCCTCAGGTCCTCAGCCGGGTGCTCTTGAAGGGGAATATGGGACCCTGGACCCTTCCTCTCTGCTCCTTTCCCCCTTTGGCTTCCTGGACAGGAGGAAGCAGGGTTTTGTTCTGCCATGTGCCCCTGGCCATCGCCATCTGGCTCCCCACCAAAGGCCTAAAGCAATGGGTCCCCCCCATGGGGACTGCAACCTCTAAACCATGATCCCAAATGAAACTTTATCTTCATACACTGAGTGTCTCCGGCATTTGTTAGAGTGTGGCAAAGCTGACCGATAAACGTACTTCCAGGACCAACCGTCCAGGTCTGTCAGGAATGCTGAAAAGTCCAGCCATGGAGAGCCATGGCCACACCCTCTCAAGTTTTAGCAGGAAATTCAAGGAAGAAAAAGGAAATTTGTTACATTCTTAAATACTCTTTGAGATAACTGTTGAGTTTAAAATAACCAGCAAAAGTATGTTTTATGTAAAGTACTTTATATAAACACATATATTTATATACACAACTCAGTCCTTGTCTTGAATATTTAGAAGAAACATGACCCTAGTAGTTACTTTTTTGAAGCTTATAACTGCTTCATGGGGAACAGCTGTGTTAGTTAACTAAAGTAGCTGCAGAGTCCCTCCGAATGAATGTCATAGCAATGGCTAATTGAAGGTCACATGCTCACTAGGACACTGGGGTCCTAGGAGACTGGGGTGCAAAGCAAGGGTCTGGGTAAATTCAGACTCTGGTAAAAGCGGCAGACAAGGCTCAGACCTGGGTCTAGGTCCCGCCAAGCCGGCTCTTTGCCTCGGAGGTGCCCCATGTGGATAGGTGTTGGGAGGCGACTCTCCGTACAACTGAGTATCCGACCGTGCGCTGCTGTTCTCTAAGATGCGCTGAAGGCGCTCCTGGGTGCCTCCTAATTTTCAGGCAACAGAGAGACAATGGAGAGCAGGAGAGATTCCAAAACCTCGAGGAACTTTCTTGGAGGAAGAAATCTCAACAGCAGAGCATAATGGAGCAAGGAGGAGTGCGCAGACCCTGAACCACGAACCAGGGAGCTACCTACCAGGTGCTGCTGCAGCTAGCAGTGAATGACCCTGGTGCCCTGAAGCAAGGGAGTGCCCAGCGCAGGGGCGAAGAGCGCAGGGTGGCAGGGCTGGCTCTGCTGTGACCACCGCCGAAGCGCAGAACCCGTGGTGAGTCCCCGCCCAGCGCGCGGGTACTGCCAGGTCCCGCACAGTGTCCCCGGCTCGGAGCCACAGAGAGCCAGGGACTGAGCGTGGGCGCCGCCTCGAGGTGGCGAGACAGGAGGTGGACACGGAGGCTGCTTCAGAGTGTGGTGCCAGTGGCCACCGAGCCCTCCCCAGGCCACCTGGACGCCCACCTGCGGTAGCCTAGGAAGGGTCCTGGCACCAGGGGCTCTTCCGGGAATGTAAGGGGAAGCTGCCCTCGAGGCAGCCCTGTACAACAGCCCTGGGGAGACCAACGGACACCATTTGGTACTTTGGGGGTTTTGTTTGTTTTGCAAAAATGAATACGGGCAGAGAGCAGATTGCTATAGCCCTCCAATTATCTTGAAAATGATTCAAGAAACAAAGAAATTTAACACATTTTGAACTGCTCTCGGAGATCATGTGAGAGTCTTTTGTGTTTATTGTTTTGTTTTGTTTTGTTTTTGTCATTAAAGTGACAAAGAGCAGTGCCATTCAGACATTTCTTTTCCGGGTTGTAACACCTGTTGTGTCCTCAGCTCTGTCCACCCCTCTCAGATGGCAAAGGCGCCCAGGGAGGCGGATCTCTGGGGGTGGCGGGGGTGTGCCTGGCTCCCTGGTGACTCTGTGGGAGGCCTGTTAAAGCTTCCCCTGCCACTCCTACCCGGGACCTTCAGTACAAGCTTTTAAACTAGACACACTCGGCAGTTTAAAATCAGAGCCTACTGCACTTCCTCACTGTGGTTCACAGAGGAGACTGGGAAATGCCCATCCAAAGAAAGCTGCATGTTTGAGGAACGGGGGAGGGACAGAAAGTTCCAGAGAAGTTTCGGTTCCCCGTAAGTAGACCTGAGGAAGCTCCTGAGACGCTCAGCATTACTGGAACTTCCTGGGGCAGCCTGTGGGGTGAGTAGGAACACGCTGGACCCAACCAGGTGGGGCCAGGTAGCTGGGCTGGTTTGGACTTGGGGGGAGCAGGCCACCCCTTCCAGCTGTCGCCCAGAGCCCTCAGGCAGGGACTTGAACTCCTGGCTTCGGTTAAGGTCATTCCACCTCTACTGACTGAGGAGGCCTTGGGACTCCGGAAGGCAGAGTGTTCCCAACAGGGGACACACCTGGGAGCAAGCCGTGTCATCCACTTTGCAGTCGTGTGGCTTTGGAGAGTTCAGTGGCCCAAATCCACAGTGAGGGAAGGACAGGGTAGGAGCTAAACCCCGGGCCTCCTGCTCTTGGCAGCGTGGGGTCTGATTTTAGGCCCGTTAATTTCATTCTGCTCCCAGCCACAGGCCCATCTCCTGGGCCCGTCTCCCCTGGGGGACTTAGAGGAAGGGTCACTTGCTCTCTACACTCCTGCCCATCAGTGTCCACTATGGCCTCTGGTGGGGAAGGCCATGGGAAGGCAGCTTCCCTTTCAGGAGGCATGGAGTGGAGGCTCCCAGTCTCACATCTGGAAGGGGGTATCCTTCCTAAAGGCTGGTCCTCACATTACCCTCTGTCTTCCAGCAGCTGAAGGTGGCTCTCTCAGAACATGGCCGCTGGCCTTCACCCCCACAGGAAGACCACCCTTCCTTCCTTCAGCAGCTGCCGGCTGAGCAGCTCTCACGAACAGGTGATCTTTTGGACACCAGGTCGCAGAGGAGCTAAGTAACTACATTTCAATAACAGAAACCTGCCAGGTGCCGCCTCTCTCTCCCCCTCCTTTTGCTGGGAACTGTGTTGCTACCACAGATCTTTAATCAGGTTAGACTTGAAGAGGAGGAAAGCGTGTGGAAGTCTAGGGAAAATCCGATATCTGGAGGACAGACCCTGCCCTCTGGTCACAGGGGGTTGGCCGTAGTGACATGGCAGGTGGGTCACATGAAATCCCTTCAAAAGCCTGATGGTCTCCCTGCTCAATGTCAGTGTTTATTTCAGTACAATCGCAGCTTGTTACAGTAATGGGTATAAAATGTGAGACCCTCCCCTTCCAGGTGACGCACTGTGAGGGGCCAGTGGAGCTCATGTGGGAAGCAAGAGAAGGAAAGGAGGGCCCACAGAGCAGGGCAGGAGGAGAGAGGCTTTCTTTAAATTCGGTTTGCCATTGTGAGTCCGGGAAGTAACCATAGTCAGCAGTGTGCTCTGAGGGCCAGGTGTCACTAGCAGTGAACTCAGGCTGGCCAGCTCCGTCACCTGTGAGAAGACCAATCCCAGCGGCTCCCAGAGTTCTCCGGCTCTAGGTCCTCCTTCCTGCTGCTGCCCCTGTTCCCACCCTGTCCTGGGCTTGCCGCCCTAAAGGAAGGATGTGGGTGGCTCCTGGGCACTGGGGCCCAAGATCACCTGTCCTTAAGTCAGATGGCCTCTAAGAGCTTACAGACTCACAGACTGGGGCGGCTGGTCACGTGGAGTGGAAGTCTTGCATTTCGGAGGCATATTCTGGTCTCTGCCGTCTGGTTCCCAAGCGCTCCGTGTTGCTTGGTCCCCTGCAGAAGCCACCAGGCTCCCCTCCTCAAGTCTCCTGCTGTCTTGTACTGCGTAGATGTTAAAGAGAGGAACCTTCTAGCTGGAAGGCTGCGTGGTGGCAGGCCCCATGTTCCCAGGGGGTGACAGTCCCCATCTTGCCTTACCCTCCCCCACTCACTTCCCTGTCCTTCTGGGCTCCTCTGTGCAAGCCCTCTGCCTGGGCTCCCTCCATCCTTCCTTTCATACTGGGTGCATGTGTGCTATTCCTGCCAGAAGAGCTCTTCCCTTTCTCCTGCGCCCACCGACATCCTGCAGGGTCCAGGTCAAGAAGGACCGTGCCCGAACAACCTTCTTGATCCTCTGGTTCCTTTGACTGCTACCTCTGGGGACGCCAAGATGACAACACCCACCCGTTTCTTACTTCCTGCTCTTGTCCTACCCACCATATAAATGTGATGTTTTACCAGTTGGCGTGGTTCACCTACTCTTACATTATAAGACCCTTGCAATCCGCAATCAATGCCAAATACTTCTCTTACATTCTCCACCATGGCAGGGACACAGAACTAATGTATGGAGGTCTCATGTGTACCAGACACTGAACTGGGGACGGGACAATGGGAACTGAATAGACATGTCCTTGTCCTCTGGGAATTTATGCTTGGGTGGAGGAGACAGATGCATGGTTTCGCCACTGGAAAGTCAAGATCAAGGAGAGAATTAAGCCAGTGTACTCTGGGTTCACAGAGCTGAGGGATGCCTGGGGACCCATGTTTGGAGGGCTCTGCGAGGCTGGGCATTCAGGGAGTGGGGGCCAGGGATGTGAAGCTTCCAGAGGTGGGGGAGCAGACTCACTTTCACCCCACACTGCCCCACCTTCTTCAGCCACAGCCTCGTGAGGCTCTGAGTGCCGACTGCTGGGGGTCCTCCTAGTCAGCACCTTCATGCCCTGCCCCTGTCACCTAACACGCCGTTCCCAGGCACCTGCCAGATTCACCTTCTCATTCCACTGCTCATGTCAGCCTCGCCCAGAGTTCTCCTCATCTCTGTCATGTCTCCATGTTTCCTCTTCTCCACTCCAGCCGTGCACCAGGGTCCCTAGGAGAGTGTTCTGGAGATGTCTACAGCAGGGGCCTGCCCCAACCCGAACGTCCAGGGACGGTGCCTCTGACCGAGTGCTGTCCATCAAGCTCCCAGGTGGTTCTCTGTGCAGCCCGGGTTGATAACCTGGTTCTATCCAACTCTGGTGGTCTAGCCAGCAGCAGCCCCAGCAGCAGGCTGGATAAGCAGGTCTTCAGGTGCCACCTGCACCTGCCGAGTGGCTGAGCGGGGCCCAGGGTCCTGTGTTTCCACAGGCTTTCCAGGGGTCCCGAGCCTCACTACGGCATCTTAGCTGGCAGAACTTTCCATGTGATTCTCTCTGTTTCCTCCAGTAGCCCCTCAGGCCTGAGGAGGAGGCTCTGCCCCCAAGAGTGCAGGTCTGAGGCCCTTGGAGCCTCCTCACCCCAGTCTTACTCCAGCTGTGGCGGACCACATTAGAACGCACATGTGTTCATAGGGATGTTGGAGGCAGCTTCACGTCCCCCAGCCTGAGGAGGTCACTGTGGCTTCCCGTGTCCTCTTTGCTCACCAAGGAGACTGAGCCAGGAGGAGAGTTTGGTACTGGATACTCAGCCAGATTCACTGCCCAGCTGAATGACGGCCCTGGGCCCCAGCCGCCAGCCACACTCACTGGAGACTCTGGAAGCTGGCCCAAGACCCATGTCTAACAGGCCTGTGGGTTTCCCTCAATGAGCAGGCCTTTGGAAACCCAGTTCTGATGGCCGGCCGCCCACTGCTCACAGGGCCTGGGAGGGCCATCATCTAGGCCTTCCTGGCCTTGATGTCCATCGCTCCCTCGCCCTCCTCCTTCCCCAGGCTGCTGTCCTCTGGTTCCCAGTGCTGAGAGGTGTCTCTCCCCCTGGCAGCCCAGCCCAGCTGCCTCCTCACTGCCAGACTGGAACGTTATGACCAGGCTCGTGAGATTGTTGGGGGTGTTAAATGACGTGTCATGGGTTCTCTGACAGTGGGACATCTGACGAGGCTGTGGTCAGGGCCTGCTGACCCCTTGTCTCCAGGGATGGGTCCCTGCTCTGTATGTGTGGCCTCACTCCCGGGCTAACCCAGGGTCCTGTCACGGACTGAGTGAGAAGGTCTTGGTTGCCCTGCCCCTTCCTTCCCACCTTTGTGTGTTGGGGCAGTGGGCCATGGAGGGACACCTGACCTGCCCCAGGCGTGCTGGGCCATTCGCCAGGGCAGTGTCACGTGGTCCTGCTGCTGGCTGGGATCCGGGCACGCCAGCACATGCCTGGGCCACGGTGCAGGAATCTGTGGCCTTGCCCACACCTGCCCCAAGTCCTGCACCCGACCCTCCTGATCCTTCTTCTGCCCGTGCGTGGCCTTCCCCTGGCCACCCCAAGCACACCCATGCCTGCCTGTGACCTCCCCCTCCTGTCCACCCAGCTCAGGCGTCAGCTCATCCTGCCAGGTAGCGCCACGCTCCCCTCCCTCGGGCAGCTGTGGGTCTCTTCTCCTCTCTGGCTTCCTCCCGTGCCCTCCCCCCTTCTTCCCACACTCTCAGAGTCTTTGCCACCCGAGTGCTGTCCCGGTTTTGATGAAGTTCAGTGTGAAGGCTCTCCTCTGCTCGGTCAGCCTCACCTGGAGTTCTCCTCATGGCTGTCACGTCCCCCTGTTTCCTCTTCTCCACTCACACTGACCTCCCGCTCCACTGAGCAGACAGCACCCACCGCTCAGGAGCTCCACTTCCTTCCTGTGGCTTGCTGTGGCTCAGTGTTGCTGTGGCAAGAAGCAACCCCAACCCCAGGGCTTGCACCCCACGTCAGGCAGGCCAGCCAGGCCTCTTTCTCCTGTCTCTGGCAGGCCCCGAGGCAGGCTCCTGGGCAGCGCTCCTCCAGACACAACCTCAGGAGGGGAAGAACCTCAGTGAAAAGGCTTGGCTGCTCTTGGCAGCTCTGGACGCAGAGCCCCATTGCAGGCTGCAGGGGGCAGGCGCAGTTTGGTGGGCCGGTGGGGTGGTCAGCAAATGTTTTGAACAAATGTTTGTCCCAAATATTTGTTTCTCTTCTTTCCATACACACAATAACCACCCTATCCCCCCCCCCACACACACACAAGGGACACACCCCAAAGATCTCATTGGCTTAGTGTTTAGGTCGCTGAGCTGATCTCCACATCATGGCTACAGTTGGTACCTCTTGATCCAGAGGCCTAGGAATTGAGCCAGACAGTTAATCGGTTATTAAAAACATAAATGAGTTGGGCTCAGTGGCACATGCCTGTAATCCCGGTAGCTTGGGAGGCCGAGGCAGGAGGATCGCAAAGCCAACCTCAGCAAAAGCGAGGCTCTAAGCAACTCAGTGAGACCCTGTCTCTAAATAAAATACAAAATAGGGCCGGGGAAGTGGCTCAGGGGTCGAGTGCCCCTGAGTTCTATCCCTAGTAACAAAATAAATAAATAAAGCAAGCCTTCTTCAGACCACATTCTCAAAAGACAGGGTCCATGGACCTTGTTGGTAGCAGAAGCAGGCAGTCACCCAGGGCTGCTCTGAAGGGGAGTTCTCTGACCATCTCCTCCTCCCTGGAAGAAGGTTCCCAGGCCATTGTTCCCCGCGGCTTTTGGCTCAACCTTCTGGGAGGTTCTTCAGTTTCCCTGTGGAGTGGCCAAGTGGGGAGGAGTGAGAATGTCAAAGTGAAGAATGGACACCACCAGAGGGCTTTCAACCCGGCCCCAGACGCCTTCCCCTGGGGTCCTGGTCAGAAGCCAAATGCCGGCTGATCCATTTTCCGCAAGTGGATCGACCAAGCCTTGGCAGGCAGTTGCTCTACTGAGCTGAATCCCCAGGCTAATTAATTATTTTATATGTTTTGCTTTCCAAACTATCTGTGAAGGATCAGGTTTTGTTATTTTTATCGCATTTTTAATTTCAGTGAAATAAAAAAAAATCCTACAAAATACAAACCAACTTTCTCTGATTAGATGTAACATACAAAAGTTCTGTGTTCCATTTGCTGTGAAAGTTTCAGAACCCTTCCTGCCGATGTCTGCAGTTTCTTCTTGCAGCCCCTCACCTTGAGTAGCATGGGTTCTAGAAGCACCGTTGGTCCGTCACA